TTCAAGGCTGAATACAAAGGGGAAGAATGTTAGGACTGAATTTCAGTGTTAAATTGTATTCGTCTTGAAAGTTTGTAATTTTCTATAATTGTAAAGACATCGTGTTTGACTTTTTAAGTCATATTGACTTGGACTAGAAGGGTTCTTAGTTTGACCCTATATATAAGTTTGTCTTCTAGTGTTTTAGGTAGAGGAGAGCTTCATTGTAATAATACGTATAGATTGAGAGTAATATAGAGACTTTGACTTGTTGACTTTTCCTCTCATCTCCTCTCAAGTTGTTCTTGATGATATTACGATTCTACCACTGATTCTATGAAGATATCTGAAGATTGATCATATTGTGGACACACACTCTTCGAGTCATGTAAATCTTTTAACCCTATCTAAATTTCAAGGACGAAATGTTCTTTTTAGGAGAGGAGGATTATAATATTCGTGTTCCGTTAACTCGTACAAATTGGGTTAAATGCTCTATGTATTAAATTATTCATATTATGTAGTTCATTCTTTCCTTGTAATCCTTTACAATTAAAGTAAATTTTCATAATAAACTCTATCACTGAAAAAGATCCCAAAACAGTTAAAATGGACATGTATTTTACTAGTACTTTTTCCTCAATGTAATACCTAAGCAATTTTATCTATGTTGTTTTTCATCATCAAATAGGGGGAGATTGTTGATCATCTTTTTCAGTGATTTGATGATAATCCTTTTTTATCTTACGAAAAATACTTTCTCTTTATTCAGCTTCAGCGATCATCACTGAGTCTTTTCAGTAATCGCTGAACAAGTAATATATCTCTCAAAAAACAAATATTCTTCAAGAAGACAAAACTCACACCACAAGAACCTTTCATGATATCAAAGATAAAATTGAAGACAGAGACAAACAGTTCGTGATCTGATGTGGTTTCAGTGATAACAAGTCTGTCAACAAATGTGTGAAATCTACTCAAGACTCAACATACACTGAAGGAATTTTAGTGTTATTCTAGTGTCAGCGATCAAATGAATCTTGTTGATCAAGATTAGTTTTTGTCTTATCCTTCTACACACAAAGGACAAACTCACACCTCTCAATGTCAAGCACCCGTACGAAGTCACTCTATTGTCTCCAAAGGTGCTTACCTACTTTATGAAAAACTACTGTTCTTATACGGAAAAAGCCTGTATATTTGAAGACAAAGGACAAGCTTGCCTCTAGAGGCTTGCCATGTACCTTATACTGTCTAACTTGCATTTAATGCAATGGGTATAAATAATTAAGAAGCTCCTTCTTCTCAGAACCAAGAAGCATATATCTTGAAGATAAAATTCTACCCAAGAAGAGACTTCCTTACAAGCACAGACTACTTAACCTTTCGAAGTTATTTTTACTTCAAGCGAAGACCACCAACTAAGCTCTTCCTTTAGCGAAGCTTTTGTTTCTTCTTTTAGCACGTCTTTCATTTCTTGCTTTCTGTATCTTGTGTGTTTCTTAGATTGTTTTAGATAGTCTGTATCTTATCTTATTCAAACAATCTGTAAATTTTGTATTGATCTTCTTTATCAATAAAGGATTTTTAAAAGTGAAAACGTCTGTGTGTTTGTATTCATCCATCTACCTTCTACAAATTGTTGCCTTTAAACGCTAAGGAGAGGAATGGTGTTTGAATGGTGGTCTATGGAAGACATTTTGGAAGAATTATGGTTTAATTTTAAATCTAGAAATTAGTTGTCAATTTGGTTATCTAATTAGTTGGTAGTACATTAAATCTTCTTACTTTTGACTAATGTGTACTTGTTAGCAAACTTTGCCTCCAAGTTACTTGCTAATTACTCTTTTCTCCCCACTCCTAGTTTAGTATAGATAGGGGATTCGGGTTAATCTTTTGGTAAGCATTCCAAGCCATTTTTTAGTTTTAAATAATTGAATTTCTCTCATCTAAACTTTTGTCTTTTTAATTCCTGTTTTAATATATATATATATATATATATATATATATATATATATATTTTGTTGAAGGGTATTATGAAGTTCCATAGCATTTTTGTAACATCCTAATTTTCTTTTACTTATTACGCTTTCCGTCTTTACATTTCGGTTTTTAATTACGTTGTTTAATTTCATGTCTTTACTTACTGCGATTTACATTTCTTTCAATTTGCTTCTGTCATGAGTAACTAAATCTCTTAGCTTCGGTGTGAGATGGAAAAAGTGAGTTTGTATATCAAAAGAAAGTAGATCATTTTATGTAACAACAATGTTCTATTATTTCCTTTCAAGTTTCATAAAACCAATGACACTTCTTGATAAGTTGATCACTGTAAAATGTTAAAGTGTCATGGACTTTAAGTTGAGTCATTGATTGCACGTCAATTTGGATAATATGGGAAGTAGATTTGAGAGAGTTGTTGACAAAGAGAATTGTTATCTATGTTCTCCAAATTGGTTAATTCTCGACATGTTGATAACTTTGAAGTGTTAAAGTGGAATGGACTCAGAAATGAGCTATTCGGAACATGTCAACTTGAATGATATAGGAATTTGCTCGAAAGAGTGATTTTTAACAAATAAATTTTTTTATCTGTATATTTTGAGGACACCATTTGTCACTTCCAGTGGTCTGAATACCACATAGAGATATGGGTTGAAAGCTATAATATCAATGCAATGTAAAATCCAAGAGAAATACCCCTAAATAAATGATGGAAATAGTTGTTACTAATTGCATGCAGTAGCATTTTGACAGGATTGGTCTACTGAAATTTTTATTTACATCTCACCATAAGTCTTACACCTTGGCTTTCTTTTATTATCTGTTAATTTCATCAAGTGATAACTCACCTAATCAAAGTCATCATTTGAAATCATTTCCTTCATTATTTTTGTTAAATTTATACTACAATCTCTATGGACGATACTCGATACTTGTATTATTTTATTACTTGAAAGACGATATTGCAACCAACTGTATACTTGCTTTTGGTGTGATCACTAAATTTGTGGGTATGTATAAAAAGCTCCTGTCAATGGCTCTAGTGGAACCTTAAGCCAATATAATCAAGAAATTAGTTGGTACAAGATTTTCAAAACTTGATGGTAGGGAATGTTGCCCTATTTAACGGATGAAAGTTTGTAGTCATTAGAAGGAAGGATCAATTTCGAGAAAAATACAAGCCAAGAAAATGAACAATCACAGGACTAAAATTATAGTTTACTCTAGTTTATATTTGTATTTCATAGGATCACCAAGGGGTGTGGTTGACATAATGATCTTATTATCATGATTGTTGTTTTGATCATAGGGTTTTTCTTACCAAGTAGAAAAAAGATAATATAATTGAAAAAGAACTTACAAATATCGTGTGATCCAAATTAAGTTGATTATTACTAAAACCAGTTACGGATCAAAATGATGTACAATGTATGAATATACATCCATTACAAAAAATCGTATTACTAATAAAAATAAGCTTCGATCAAAGATTTTTTTTTATAAAAAAGGGTTATTAAAATATCTTCAAATAACCGATAAAACACTTAGGGGATGTTTGATTTGATGGAATAATTTTGAGTGATTTGGATTTCATGGAAGGATTTGGATTTGAAAGAAATTGGAATCTTCTTTCATGTATTTGGTTTGTAAGATTTGGAATGGAATTGAATTCTATTCTTTATAAATAGATTATAAATAAATATAAAAATAATTAAATTATCTTTTTATTACTTGATTATTACAAAGCAAATGTTTGTAACATACTTTAAAACATTATTAGCTACAAATTCTACAAGATCTCGTGAAATACCAACCACCTATATGGGATTTCAAAATCTTATGTTTGTTGGATTTCGATGAAATCCCGGGATTTAGAATCCAGGATATCCTTCAAACCAAACATGAAACTGGAATGGAATTCAATTCCAAATCCCTCTAAATTTATTCCAATCCTACAAATCAAACTGGACCTTAGAGTTAATATTAGAAGAAAAAACCTATAAAACTATATTTTTGAATTTGAATTTGATTTGCTTATTAAATAATTAAAAGAATATGGTTGACTATAAGTGTAATTAATTACCTTGATTTTCTTTATTTAATTAACATATCTCAAATTTGAAAAAATATCTCTAATTTGGTACACTTGGACCATTCATTGGTCAACTTTGTTTTTTTATTTTTGAAAATTGGATCGGAAATGGTTCATTGGAAGCAAAAAATTTAAATGCAATTGAAATATTTTGAGGATAGAGGTCAACATGTCCTTTACTTTGGGTGGGATTTACTTAATTTATTTGAGACATTTTGTTTCTAAATACAAGAGTCGTTTTTAAGTTGTTTGTTTTCTAAGAATACATTATTTATGTTTAAGGCGTCCTAATTTCATTGTAAACAATTACCAAAAAAAATTGTATTTTATTTTTCACTATATCATGAAAGCCTTTTAATCATTCTGTACCAAATTATTCAGCAACTACCAAACAGTTCCTAAAACTTCTTACCAACCTTCTTATTAGCTTCTTATTGTCCTCTGATTTTCATAAAACAAAAACAAAAAATTTGGAATACCAAAAAAACAAGAGCCGGGTATATGACAATAAATTTTTTGAGAATTAAGAACATTTAAAATGTACAAATCTTGATGACACAACACATATTATTCTTAAAAAAGGCCAACACTTGTTATTTTGATTTAAATAACATTTTTGATAAGTTTTAGTTGGCATTTATGTTTTTTTTGTCAATAATACTTTATTAATGTCAACATTTATCAGTTTTATAAAACATACAACATATTCATCCCCTTTAGCATCGCCTCTCATCTATAATAAATGAAATAAGACTTCAAACTTAAAAAACAAACGTCGTATAAATCACGTTCAATCAAAAGCATGTTTAAAAAATGAATAACTTGGGAAATCTCTATCTTCTACGATGTCCATGAGACATCAATTGCGTTAAGACGCTTGAAAGAAATTTTGTATGAAAACCATTCATGTCGTTTCATATATCAATCAAATGATTTTACATCGTTATTTTAGTTCTCAAAAACCCACCAAGGGCAACTCCAATTAGCTTACAAATGTATACAAGACAAATCTAGAAGTTACCATCAATATCTATATTGACAATAGACTCGCCACAATTTCTATATACAACAAAAACATATAATGCAAATATACATCCTCTAGCTGTTATAAAGAAGAAAACCATATGTGGTAACTATAGATTTTGGTAATTGTGGGTGTCTGAGCCTGTTTCCATGCATCCGACTAATCCTATGGGGTCTTGAAGTTAGCAAGCAGGTTTCCATGCATCCGACTAATCCTATGGGGTCTTGAAGTTAGCAAGCAGGCAGGCAAACCCTACAATGACTGACATGTGTTCAAATTGCGTCTATCTGGTAAAGTCAACAGAAGACATGCAAACTATTCCTCATGGATGTTGTCAAGGAACACGCTCACCCCCGTTGACCGGAAGTTCTAAAATTTGTCAGATCCATCAATGGTATGAGACGTTTTGCTTAAACCTCATAGACCTTTTGAACTAAACGAATAAGATAACACATGGCGACAAGAAGATTTTCTCAATTTAAGCACAAAAGAGAAGAATGCAAACCAAATATAAGAATGGACAGGGAGATATGATGAAATGGGAAAAATCCCAAAATGAAATTGCTGCAAGTTTTTTATGGATTAAGTAAGAGGATTGAGATTATATATATGGAACTTACTAGTATTTACAAGAGACAGCAGATGCAGCATAGCTTCACAGATTAAGTTTGAAAAATATTTATCAACATTGGTAGGGTTGACCGCACCAATAAGCAATAGAAAAGGATGGGTTGGGGTATTTACTGTTGTTCGGGCTCCTGCAAAAAATAACGAACCATATTGCGTTATTGAAAGAGTCATAGATTTGCAGCTTCAAATCCAATAGTTGCCTGTTCCGTCATTAAAAAAGAAATTCATTTTAAAGCATCAGTATTTTAAAAGCAAAATGCATCAAATGTAAAAATAGTTCCTATCCAATATTTTTTCTCAATTAGTGTAACGAACTTTCAGTTCATCTTATTCTCTACCCATTTTACTAATAAAAGAGTTTTTGGCTCACATGGGATCGGTTGATATTCATGTGACATTTTTGTCCACAGTAAGAAATACAATATAACTTGACAACTTGACATCCATGTTATCAATAGTTACAAGATCTACCATTTACCGGTCAAAACGGGTATAAAATAGAAAGAACTGAATGTTTGTCACACTAATTGAGAAAGAAAATTATGGTTGCACTCTAAATAGAAACTAAAGCAAATTTCATTGCATTTTGGTCATGTTTCTAATACTTGAAAAAACTACATAATTAAAAAAAAGGGGTAAAAAAAAGAAGAGAAAAGTAGTGTACATGCAAATTTAGAGCAGCAAACACCTAATGTGTATATTTATCATATGATACAACTATTTCATGTAGGAAGGGAGTATCATATAAGTTCACAGGAGGTAAATTTCTTTTGGGAAATTTCTGAAGGTCGCCCCATCTGTATAAATGCAATAAAATACCAAGAAAAACTTAAAAGGACACAAAAATTTACAAATTTCATGGATGAAAACATCAGATAAACAATACCTTATTTTTTGAAATTTTCCGCACAAAGCTCAGTTGAGCCAAATAATTACTCTCAGCAAAATCATGCAATGTACGTCGAGCTCGAGCACCTTCATGAACATATTCTTCCTTCAAGAATTTTCTACACTCATCGGTATCCTGCAACCAAAGTGATTGTTGAAGAACAAACGAATGAAATATTTACAAAGGATCTGTGCATTAAAAGGAGAACATAGAGCAAATAAAGCAGCAATAGACTAAAGGCCCCAACAATTGTTCTTCGGCTTAATTTTGAGGACTTTGAAGACCTTCGTTCAGAGCACAGGCATAGAACATCAAGCAATGTGTAAGGAAAAGACAACAGAAAAATTCATTCAAATTTCATACAGTCCTTTCCCTCCCCCCATCTCTCTCTACACACACACACACACACACACACACACACACATATATATATATATATATATCTTCACGGTGAGCAAAGATGGATGTCATTTTGGATAAGCTTATGTATGAGGCTAGATTGTACAAAATTTTCAGAAGTTATGCTCATCGTGTTACCTCCATGTATTAAAAAGTGATGAACAATCTTAAAAAGAGAACAAATGATAAGACTTGAAAGAGATCAGAATTGCACCTTCAAGATAATTCAAAAATGTTGATCAATAAGTGCTACCTTTTTCCTTTTCAGACCATCTCATACAAGTATCAGGTTACTCCAAATGGAACAATTCATATCCCACAAAATAAACAACTCTTGTACGTATCTAGATAAATAGGGGTAGTAGCATTTGAGGCATCTCACATGATGTGTAGTGTTTAAATGATGAATAGGGTGTTGGGAGAAGAACAAGGAGAATGTCAACCAAATGGATTCTTTTCTCATATATCTCAAACTTATTACATGATCCCTATTTATACTATTCCTTGCCATAACTCCAAGCACCCTTAGGCTTTTCATTTTCATTGGTTTTTGCCTACTTAGGTTACATTTCAATACATGAATGGCCACTAAGACAATCTTAATCACACTAACATAAAGACTCAACAATGCAAATAGTAGACTAATTAAACAAGAGCAACTCCGCTACTTCGAATCAATCCTCAACACTCCCTCTTGATTCAAGGTTGCAAACTCCAAGCAAAGCTCTAAAGTAACCGAATTTCTCCTTTGTTGACGACTTCGTTACTAGGGTTTGGTAATGGTTTGGTAAGTCATTTAAGAGCTTTTGTTTGTATTTTCCACCTTTATCACTACAATGAACTTTGATTAAGCTTCCACGACGCTTTTCAACCATATCTTGAAGTGCCAGAACTTCTCAAAAGTCTCTTGACTTGTTTTTAAGAAAATAAAACTAACTCATGTGAATATAATCCTCGGTAAAAAGCAAGAAATAACAACCCCCACCAAGAGACTCGGTTTGCGCAAGCCCACGTAAATCAACAGAACCGACTTAAAGTACTAAAAGGCTTGGACCAACGGGAAGAGACTTTAGATTTGTTTTTCATAAACGCGCCCCTTCACATAAATCAATAAAAATGATTTTTGGTAGCCCAAGAACCATATATTTATTATTTAGCAATGACAAACCCTCAATGTTGGGAAGCCCGTATCTCAAGTGCCATAGCTTTGATTCATCTTTTCCTCCAACAGCAAGAGCAGAACTTACCACATTAGAGACCTCCAATGGGAACAATTTGCTTTAGGCCATCAAGCAGGACGTTTTGAACATTATGAAGAAGTCTCACTTTACCATGGCTAGTTTCAATACAACTTAGACTTCGACTTGTAGTTCTTTCTCCCTAATCATGTTCTTTTGATATGGATTGTGTCTGTCATGTGATTCTGCTATCCATAAACCCCACATTACCTACCTTATGGTTAGTTTGTACATGAGCCATAAAAAGCTTACTAGCTCCTTCAATATCCAACGCCTTGGCATTCTGATACATAGTTGGCTTTATGGTATTTGTACCGACAATTCACCATAATAAGCAATATAACATTGAACTCTATTCATGTTACTTGGTTGCCATTGTATTGCCTTTGTCAATCGGATTTTCCCTTCCAAAACCACGGCCATGTCCACAAAATCCTCCACTTCCATGACCTCAAATCGTTGAATTATCACTTCCTCGGAGTTTGGGGGTTAAATCATTCACCTAAAATGCCTCTTCTTTGTTTGTTTAAAGTGTTCTATTAAGGCTCGACTCATGAGCTTTAAGAGACCCCATTAATTCATCAGATGAAAAAAATCGACAATTCTTGTGATTCTTCTACGCGAGCACAACATGATTAAATTTTGGAGTTAGGCATCTAAGTGCCTTCTCAACAATGGTTTGATGCAATCTTCTGTTGTAGGACCACTTTTTTTAGTTTTTACTAACTATTGCCTTTGCTTTAATTCAACGACCGATTCTCCTTTCTTCATTATCAAGGTCTCAAAGTCACACTGAAGCAATTGCTATCTCACCATGGGGGCTTTTGGATAACCTTGAAAGTCCTTTTGCAAAATAGGCCATGCATGTTTTGATGTCGTAGTGCTCACAGGGAGTTGCCATGGACTTACTTGTTGAATGATTACCAAGGCCTTCGCATCCTTGTTCTTGTTCTCCCACAACCTACGTTCGTCATCTGAATTTGTATAGTCGTGTCCCACCATGTCCTATAAGTCTTGAGACCTAGTAGAGTCGTTATACAAATGCTCCAAATTATGTAGCCTTCTCCTTTAAGACAGATATGGGTGGTTGTGCCACACCCATTTCATTTCCGTTGTTGCTTGTTGTTTTTCTATGTGTTTACAATTGACTCACTCAATTAAAGTATGCTATCATACCAATTTGTTGGGAGGGGAACAAAGAATTTGTCAACCAAATAGATTATTTTCTCATATATCTCAAACTCATTAACGATTCCTATTTATACTATTCCTTGCCATAACTCCAAGCATCTTTTAGCTTTTCTTCTTCATTGGTTACAAAGCCATTTGCCTAGTAGGTTACATTCCAAAACATAAATGACAACTAACACAAACTTAATCACACTAACATAAAGACTCAACGATGCAAATAGTAGACTAAAACACAAATAACTAGACCACGTCCACTACTTTCAATCAATCCTCAACGTAGGGTTTCAAGGAAGATGCATTCCAACTCAAAGCCTGTAGGACCCAATATGTAACATGCTTGGGCTTGTGTGCGGGGAGGCTCGATTGCTATTTTCCCACAAATATATAGCAAGTATAACTATCCTTTGAATACTCCTGTCCCAAAATAAGTATGCACATTTCTATCTTAGTTTATCCTTAAAAAAACAAGATTTCAAAAGTATGTGCCTTTTCCAATTCTACCCTTAATTATGAGATGAAGAAATTCATTACTCGCAATTGTCAAGTCCACCCAAAAACGGTATCGTATGCAACAATTTACCCAGTAAGAGCTAACCATGGTAAGAGTCGTCACCCTCACTTACAGGGTAAGACTCTCAGTCCTTGCCTTCACTCTTACCAAGTAAGATTCGATTCTTGGTCCTTGCCATATGCATCATATAAGGTAATGTGACTTGGTAAGCACTTACCCGGGTAAGTGTTTGATAAATGGCTCCTTAGTTAAAGTGTAACAATTACATATTTCTATAACTGGCTTTTTCAATATGGGCATTTATTTTGGGATGGAGTATAAGATAGTTGTGCTTGCCAGCAATAACCTAATATTAAAAATTATTTTAACTCATCAACCCCCATTTATACGCAGAGATCTGTATATATGTTTACAAAGATTAAAGGTATAGATAGACTATCAGAAATTAAGGAGTAAATTACGTTTTAGTCCCTGTGGTTTGTTAAAAATTGTGGATTTCATCCGTGTGGTTTTCAAATTTAGATTTTCGTCCCTATGGTTTGCAGTTCATTTCTATTTCGTCCCTGAGGCCAAAACACTACTTTTAAGTATGGACTAAAATAGAAATGAATAGTAAACCATAGGGACAAAAAAAAGCAATAAATTTTATATCACAGGGACAAAAAGGAATGATAAACCATAGGGATGAAAATCGTAATTTCAAAACCATAAGAACGAAAATAGAAATTTTCAACATACCGCAGGGACTAAAAATGTAATTTACTCTAAATTAAAAAAAAAGCAAAAAAGAAAATTTAAGCTTTCAAGTTATTACTTATTACTATATTAAAGAAAAACAGAAATAGTTTGTGATGCAATCGAAGGTATGATTGCTGCAATCAGGAGCTGCTTAACATCATTAAGAACAGAAGATCAGAAGATTTGGAGGATAAAGTCAAAAGTATTGCATTCTGAACAAATTAAGAAATGTACCTGCAAGAATTTCAGCATCTGCTCTTCAATTGTACCATGCATAGCCAAAGTTTCTACATGGATAGGGCGTGTAGCACCCATCCTGTGAGCACGACTAATCACCTGTTCCTCCATGCTAACAAATTCCAATGATTAACAATCAGTCAAAAACAAGCCTTTTAACCCAAACTCCTATTTTTGCAACACCCAAGTTACAGACAGGTGACAGCCATGATAGCTCATGCAGCATATATGATAGTGAGCGAAGAAAATAAAAGCAACAGGGTGCATGCAAAATTCACACACAAACTCTGAGAAAGGGTAGAAAAGAAATATCGGCCAAACAACATCCATAAAGGTATCACAATATTTGACATGGGACTTCATTCTTTTTACCATCACTACAAGAACATGTGTGTACATTTTCATACATGTACAACGGTAACCATCTAAATTGATCTATTAACCTGTATTTTAATTGTCTCACCTATTCAAAACCAAACCAAAGCCAACCAAACCAAACACACCCTTAAATCCTTAATGTCACACTCAAGTAGGGTCTGGAGCGTAAGATGTACACAGACTTGACCTTTACCCAAAAGAATGGAGTGCTATTTCCATGAAGACCCCTGGCTTGTGGATAAAAGGTTTACAAAAGATTTTGGTGGAGCACTGACTGTTTCATAAAGTTTGTCAGAAGCAATTGGAAAATAGGAAAGTAGAGAGAGGAACTTGAGACCAAAAAGTAAATCATTAGCAAATTCTCAAATAGTATAAAATCATTAGCAGACCAGTCTAATGATAAACAGAGGCAGGCATATATGTGTATGCATCATTGCTCTAAAAGGATCATGGCGACATCCGCCACGGCGAGCCATGACTCCAATGCCATGTTAAGCCTGTGGCGTGCCATGACCCAATGTGCAGCTTCTGTAACATGATATTTGATTTTCTTTTACCTTTTTAATGTCTTACTTTTTAGTTTTTAATATATAACCTAATTTAAACTATTTAATATTATTGACTTGTTGAGTACTAGTAGGGAAAATGTGTAATATATATAATTAAACATATGATACACAGTTTTTTTCGCCATAAGTCACACCTTGAAAAACGGTGTGGCCTCGCCATGGCTCCCAAGGCTTGAGGCTTGACCTTGCCACCATGCCTCACACCATTTAGAACCTTTGTATGCATAGATAAATACCTACATGCATATGTTCATACTAGTATGACATAAAATGCCATGTCCACTTAAGGTTTGACTAAATACTTTACTATGCAATACATTCACAGCTCTTTTTTAACTAAAATAAAGGCCCTTTTCACAACCTGCAAAGTTCCTAATAAAAACCTCTCCAATCATAAGCTCCAAGACGAGGAGTTGCAACACCTCTAGGAATTTTATATATTCCACAAATAGTACAAAACAATATTTATATTCTATGAGATACAGACTTATAAATTACCTTTTATCCCAAATGGGCTCCATTAGAAAGACATGTGTCACAAAACTCAGATCAAGACCAAGTGCTGCACTTCCATCCATCAGAAGAGCCATACATTCTTCCTCATACTGGAAGGTAGCCAGCGATTTCACCTACATCAAGTGCAAGTGGCTTAAATTTTGGCATTTATTATGTAACTCCATGATTAAGACCTATGTACACAAATAAACACATTCAAGACTTAACACTCAAACTCCACAGAAATAAACTACAAGATTCTTACCTTGTTGACAGAATGCATTGGACTGTACATTCCCACGAATTTAATGCCAGCAACTGTCAACTGGAGAAGGATTTCATAAACAACACATTGTTTACAGGAATTTCACATCAAACTGTTTGTGCTCCACAGATAGTTATATTACCTGCTGTTCAATGACATGTATATGCTCAAGAAACTGAGAAAATATTAGCACTTTCTCTGGAAACCCATTGATAGATCTAGCAGAAGCCTTGCTTCTCCCGAATGGTGAAAAAAATTCATCAATCTCTTTTCCATCATGGCCCTCGTTGATGCAGCTGTCAATTATTTTCTTAGCTTCCAGCAAATCTTTCAACCTCTTCACAAGATATGAAACTTTACTGCTAGATGTTGATTGCCAATCAGGATTCCAGTCATCCTACACATACTGGCCATTTAGAACACCTGGTAAAAAGTCAAAGGCAGAAAATAACACTAGTAAATAATGGAAGCTTACCTGTTTATATGAGGGCTGTAATTCAATCAAATCTTTTGGAACAGGCCATTTTGGATTGGGATTTTCTGGACGGGCTAATGTTTCGGGACTCTGCATCTCATATAAGTTGTCACAACCAGGGAAAGTACATTTTTCACTGTTTAAAGCAACGCAAGACAGGCACAAAAGATGCCTACACGGCGTTATGACGGGCAGACGACACCATTCTTCGCATCTGTAAAGAACAATCAATCAGGATAGATATAATCAGGTTGAAGCTTGATCAAAGTGGCATCATAGCCTTAAACAACTGAATCTTACCTCATACAATTTCCACCATATAGAATGTTATATCTTATAAAAGCATACTCCTCCGAAAGAGGATCCAGACCATTTTCCACCAAGATATCCATTGTTTCCTGTATATCTTGTCCAGCATCTGTTACTTTTATATGTCCAGCCACACAGCAAGATAACCTCACATTTCTGATGGTGGTACTTCGAAACTTCCATTGCTTTGGGTTCAACAAACTCTCAATATGAGAAGGATCATTCCAATCAGCCATTAGTATATTACGACGTACCGTAACTACTAATTCATTGTAACTCCTTGCATGCTCTTCATTGAAATTCAGAAATGTCACCTTTTTAATGCAGGGAGGAATCATTCGTAAATCTTTTTTCCTAGCACTAATCATGCACCTACGGAGTAACTGTAACAGGCGTGCCCGGCCCTCTTCCATCTTTGCCTCAAAAGGCCTAAGTATGCCAGCTTCCCATGAAGTTTGATCCTGTCCATATGCTTCCTCACGAAGGAACTTAAGCATGGGCTGGAGATTTGAAAGTTGACTGTTCGGTGTATTGGAAGTAGGTGTACCAGTTAACAACCAACGATTAGAAGCTGTCAATGAAACAGACAATTGTAATTTGTTTGTCAAGTTCAAACTTGAGCCAAGGGTGTGCCCTTCATCAAACATGACCCGGAGCCAATGAACTTGCATCAAGACACTTCTCTTTTTGGGGCTCCATTCAGCACTTAAACGACTGAAAGTAGTGATGACAACATCATAATCCCAGGCAACATTATGTACGGAAGGCTTTTTATGATCAGCCCATACATACACACGCAATTGACCAGATTTGACATGCTTTTGTATTTGATTCTTCCAATGATCAACTAGATTTGCAGGAACTACAATTAAAGTTGCCCTGGATAAATAGAACCTGACAGAATCAAGCGGCTCACAGAGAGCAATCCTGAGGGCAGCCAAATCAAAAGCCAAATTGACTAAATTTCTAGGGTAGTGCCACCTCATTGTTCCCTGCTCTAACCTCTTGACTAAACCAAAGGCTTGAAAGATTTTGTGAAAGCCACGGACTTCTCCTGTAGATAGAACTTTAGTTCCTGTGAGGGGGTGGACTAATCCAGTTGTCTCCATTCTAAAAAGCTTATCTTCTGTTAGTTTGGCCAACCAAATTAAAGCCTTTTTAGTTTCAAAATTAATCAATGCATAGTGCTCCTTGAGAACACTAGCAAAAAATGAAACGTTTTCCTCTTTGCCTTCACTAGTTCCTTTGGTATAAAATCCAGGCAAGTATGTTACTGACTGACAGTTGTCCCATGACTCTTCAGGGACACTGCAACTCTGATGAAATGGATCACTGTTCATACTACAAAACCACGCAGTGGAAGAATCTGTAACATGTGAATCCACAAGCTTCCGCCACTTGCGACAAGCATCACACTGGACCCAAGTTTCATTTAGTTCAAAATAGTCTACAGTGGCCTTCTTAGTTCTCTTGTTCATGTTTCGTGACAGTACAAATGGTAGACCATCTTCAGCACCAACTGCAGCCAGTTTTCTCTTTTTTGAGGTCTCCCCGACCTTCCTCTCACTAGAAGGATAAGATGCTCCTTCATATGCATCCAGAAGATTTCTCTTAACTTTAGTCCAGCTTCGGGTGCACTGAACAGTACATGCTGCTGCTGCAGATTTCACAAACATTGGTGTCTTGGCTGTCTCAGAAGAATTCCATTTTGAGTTCTCCTTTTGACATCCTGGAGTAACATTGTCCAGAAATGTTTGGCCTCTTCGACTAGTACGTCCAGTAATCTTTTTACTGGCCAACACACTACCACAGTTCATGCTATCACCACCAAGCTCATAATAGCCACATTTCTGGTCACCATTTTGTTTACACCAGATTATTTCTACCCCTTCTGGTGGGTCTGCAAGAGTTCCTAGCGTTTTCAGAATCAGAGACAGAGCCGTAATAGTCTTACCTAAGCCAGGTTCATCACAGAACATACCTCCACGGAAATCTTTAATCATAGGAATGGTACCTGTTACAACCTCTCCAGAAACAGTACTTACATTGAAAGCAAACCCGTCTTCAGTTGCAAATTTCAAGTACAAAGGATTCGGAAAAACTTCAGGATCCCGCTCCCGCTTTAACATCCACTCAACTGCCGATTGCTGATGAGGAAAAAGCTTAAGCTTCATAGATGGCATTATCGTTGCTGCCAATGATCTTAGATGCCGACAAGTTGAGGAAACCCTAAGAAGTTCAAGAGGATCAAGTGCAGTTAAAATATTGACCAAAACATCATCCGGCAACAGCCAAAAACCAGATGTACAAGCATCATCTGCGGGATTTACTTTGGAATGGACAGAATCTCCCTGCATTGACACACTAGGCAGACTCCTAAATATCTCGTGGAGTTCAAACAGTTTTTTTTGGGAAGTATCAGGTGCATTACAATGCTGGTTGCATCCAAGAACATGGCAATCTGAAACATTCCAAATGTGATCGTCAATGGAATCAGGTTTGTTACAATCCATCATCGAGCCCCTGGCCTGCCAGTCACAACTGTACAGAAAATGACGAGTCTATGTTACCATTCATGAAACAGAAAATTGATGCTTCAAACTGATAAATCAAATATGTGCACGCAATTAGGAAGCAAGGATGCTTCTAACCCTTTTTAATCCCAGGATCAGGTGTATCGCTGTGCAACGTCCTTGGTATGGCCGTGCAGCCTTGACGGTATCCCCGAATTATTGACCACGAAAACAAGGCAATACGGAATTAATGATGACAGAGGGTTTTTTATTACGGAAAACATGAAAGCTAAATATCTGAAGTAAAACTCAAGTTTTATGGCAGCAAGACTGCAAGAGAAAAATGAGGCAAGGCAACAACCCAAGTGCTTTTCCTTGATAGTTTGGACTACAAGCTAAAGTATAATCAACTAAGTTGCAACCATATACTATATGAGATATAGGAGGCACACACACACAAAAGCACCAGAGCATTTACTTTTAGAAATTCCAAATCCCTGTATCGACATATCATGCAATAGCATATTTGCATCCATTTCCTTGCAACATAGACGATTATAGAAGTGGGATGAAACTGTGTTAACAAAATTTGATGTTGCAGAGGATGAGAATTTACATCAACTATGATGACAACTCAACTAAGTTGCAAACATTGTTTAATTTCCTTTCATAGAAAGTTGCAACCATTCGGTATTTTCATTTCCTATAAATTTGCAACAATTCTCTAATTTCCTTTCCTATAAATTGCAACAAAATGTTCTTGCCTGATGCAGCATGGATCCGAGAGTTAGATGGATTCTGTCACGGATGAATGGGAGAAAGGAAACAAGCTCAAAAGAAGTCCGAAATCCTGCATCAAAAACTGGAACACAAATGCTCATGTGACTTCTCCCATGACTTGGGACACATGCCTTTGTTTTGATTTGTTTATTTGATTATTGTGTTTCCTAATTAATTTAGGATTATTATTAATTTCCTTTCTAATTATTTTAATCCCTTTCCTAGTTATCCTTTAATTGTTTAAATCCTTTCCTAGTTGTTTAGGTTTAGGACTTTTTTCCCTTTTAGCCTATAAATAGCGTCATTGGTCCTTCATTAATTTTCAGTTTACCATTGATTAATAAAATTCTCTTAGAGTTGGATCTCTAATTTGATAAGAGCTTTCTCTTATTTTCTCAAGTTCTACGCTTGTAAACTCGTTATCCTTTAAGGGGTTTAGGCTTATCAACCCTCCGCGTTTGGCTGTTTCCTAGTGCATCATTATACCTACAATTCCAAGTTATAACCTGGCAATTATAGTAGCTTCTCTATTTTCAAGGAGTGAGATATCATTTAGTCTCTCTCAAGGAGCTTTCAAGTCAAATAACAACTGATATTTTCGATCAAGGTTCCAACTTATTGAAAATTAATACCTACAATTCAACTGCAAATATTTCTTTAATATTTCCTCTTCTTATCAATACTAAAATACGGAAGCACTAACACATCTATCTTTCTGAAAATTTCTCCAAAATAAGGCACTAACATATCTATCTTTGAAACCTTCACCATTTGCTTTTCCATATATTTCTTTGGAAATTTTTCTTTTATCCCGCACACTTCTCACAAGTCGACGTCTTCAGGGAAACAAACACTCTACTCTTTGAGAGAAAAGGTTAGGTCTGCAAACACCCCACCTTCGGGTGGTATATACTTAGCTCGTTTGGTTTGGTTTGGTTTTGACTTCTTGTCTTCTTAGTTCTCAGGGGAATATCCTAGGTGTTGATAGTATGTTTTGATTTTTCATCTTTTATGTTCAATTTTATCTTTGCATGATTCCAATTAAACTTTTTGAGAAAACTTAAGTTCAAATTTTTCCCGAGCTTACATAAGAATTTGTGCCCAAGTCAAGAAGATCTTATTTTAATCCATCAGTTTTAGTTCAATGCAAATCCAATCATAACATCATCAAACCTATTCAGGCTAGAGCTAAGTTCAACTCATGGGTCTAATTAAACAAGACAACCTCGAACCCCTAAGTGTTTAGATCCCTTCTGATAGTTGACAACTATGCTGTTATATCGGTCAGAATACGAAATATCGGTCAGGACCGATATTCGATATATCGGTTATATCGGTGATATATCGGTGATATATCGGAAATAGCGGTTAACATAATATTTCTTAGAATTATATATATAATATGCATTAATTAGAGTTTAGAAGTCTGAAGACTGAAGTTGAAGTCGAAGTGTGAAGAAAAGTCGAGATTGAAGACTGAAGAAGTCGAGACTAAAGTGTGAAGAAGAAGTCGAGACTTGAAGTCGAAGTCTGAAGACTGAAGTTGAAGTCGAAGTGTGATTTGTGAAGAAAAAGTCGAGACTGAAGTTGAACGTGAAGAAGTCGAGACTGAAGTTGAACGTGAAGAAGTCGAGACTGAAGTTGAACGTGAAGAAGAAGAAGACGTTGTGGAAAGATTCAGACCTAATTTAAGTTATCAGCCCAAAAAATCGCTAAATATCGCTAAATATCGGAAAATATCGTTAAAAATCGCTAAATATCGGAAAATATCGCCGATAATATCATTCCCGATATTTTGACCGATATTTGAGTTCCGATTTTTTTTTTGGAGCGATATCCGATATATCGACGATATATCGCGATTTTAACAGCATAGGTTGACAACTCTACCCCCAATAGAAGTTGTATATCGAAAGAAGTGCACCTACTAACAATTTGAAAAAGAAAATTAAAAGTTGGCTATTCAAACAAACAAACTATTGAAAGAGTTGTGAAGGCACAACTACCACGAGATATTGTTACTTTCAACACAATAACATCACCATGTATATTCATATTTATTTGTAAGGGGATATTATTCCTGCTTTAACTAATGATGTGCCTTTTGTGCCTCAAAGTATTTCACTACACCAGAGCCACATATTTAAGTACAAAATCAAGACTAACAGAACAACCGTAATGAACTGTAACACTCGGGATTTTTCTAATGTATTTACCTTAAGTTCTGATCATGTTTATTTCTGGAAATATTCTTAAATTTAGGTTCCTGTACCAATATAGATGTCGATAAGGACATGTTAAGTTAAACCTTGTTGAGGGGATTAAAGTGTTAAACAAATCATTACAGGCTTCGACAAGGGTCTTGCGACCCTTGTGACCGTGACCTTTGCATCGCAAGATCAGGGTCGCATCTCGTGTACCGTAAGCAAGAGATTTGGGCTTATGTGACCCTTGTGACTGCGAACCATGCATCGCGAGCCACGGCCGCATCTGGCGTACCGCGCAAGTAAGAGCCTTGGACATATAATAGGGTCACATGCCCAAGGTCGGGAAAGTCTACCCGCGTGTTAAATAGGCCGATGTTATTAGGTTGAGCTCATTTATTTCCTCCACATCTCTCTCACTTCATTGAAGTCGATCACACGAAAACATAGGAGCATTTTCAGAGCACTCAAGATCATTTAAGAGCATTCAATCTAAGGATTCAAGCGTCCAAGTTTAGGATTCAAGATTTACACTCTCTTCTCACCATTTTGCTTGGTTTCTAGGTTTTCTCCAAAACCTAGCATTGTGAGTTCATCTTACAACTTTATCAAATCATATACATGTTAAAATGTTATATTTTAGTTCCTTCAATGCTTCTATTTCAAGTATTTCACATTTGGTTGATTTTGGACCAACTAGGTCAAATTTGTGGAGTTACTATTGATAGTATTCTTTTGAAGATTGTAGAGACACTCGGTTGTAATCTAAAGCTAGAATTGGTTTAGATTAGTAGGTTGTTAGCTACCGTCCATTCTTTGATGTAAACTCTCATACTATTTTCCCTTGTCGGGTGATTATATTTGATCTAGTTTTTTTCCGCTTTTTCTACGGTTTAAATTATCTCCTATTTTAGGGGGTATTATATGAACCAAGTTATTTTCATTATATGTGAAGGATTGTTTAATCTCTATGAGTAGAATGTTCCTAATAGTAATGGTTAAATATTGTAAGGGTCGTGGACAAGGGTGTATCAATGTTGTTAGTCCCAGATCTAACAGCAATTCAAGAATATAGATGAAGATTGAGAAATAAAATGAAGAACATGAACTTGAAGAACCGGCAGTTTCTCTTATTCATGAAGCAGGAAAGTACAAAATATCTCTCTCACTCTAGTCGACTCTCATGGAATGGAATAGAATGAACAACTAGAATGATCAACACAAATTCTAAGCGCATATCACCTATTCATGAGTGATATTTACATTGAAAGCCTAATACCCTTAAGCCCAATTACAATGATATTACAAGACAGTACAAAGTAATTGACTTTATAAAACTTTCTAACATCTAGGACTATTTTAGTCCTAACAATCTCCCCCAAGAGTTTTATAAAGTAGGCATCTCTTGAAAGCTTAAAGTCTTCTCCCCCTTACTTTCTTTAAGAAAACTTTGGTGTGTCCGACATGGATGAGATCTTCAAGTTCTCCCCTGAATAAAGCTCTTATTCTTAAGTTTCAACTTTAAGATAAGATTCAATGTGAGTTCAACACCATTGATTGCACATAGTACAGCTAAAACTGCAAACAACTCAACACAACCTTGAACCGCAGAATCATCGCCAACCCGAAAGCAATTCATCCAACTATGGAATAGATAAATGTGCGAGCTTAGTGACATTCAAGTGCAAACGGTCTTATAACAAATAATCTTTCAGTGAACTACGAGTTGAATAAGCATACAGCCTAAGAACTTGATCTTGGTACGCTCATAAATTGGGGTAACAATAACAACTTGAAGAACCAAAGCAAACACCTTTAACTTTATAGACCCGGAGAGAAGAATCAGCATTAAGCTCATAGTTTCAAGAACAGCAAATCAACCCATATAGATAAGCCGATTTCCTTCAAACTTTCCGATAACTGAATAACCAGAATCAGATTCAAATATCCCAAGCAGAAGAGTAATTATGAGCACTCAGAACTCTTGGATCACAACCATAACATATAAACAATGATTATAGACTATCAAACCTCTAATTCATCAGGTTAGAAGAATGACTGAGAACACTCAAAAATCTGATAATTTCCAGAACCTCCAGAACACTGATTGCAAACCTTCAAGACCTCTGATTGATCAGGTCAAAAGAAATGAGTGAAGGCACTCAATGGTCTAGTCTCTTATAGACTAACTCCAGAGTAACGAATACAGATACTCAAACTCTGACTAGTCCACTCAAATATAGAAACCAATCAAACAGTTCTGAAATCTTTTCAAATCGGGTTTAAAACATTAATCCCAAATTAGTTGACCAAAAAGTCAAACTTTGACTTGAAAAGTCAAAAGTTGACTAAGTTGTATGATGCTCTTAAGGGCAGAAATGATAAAATACCACCTTAATCATCAAACACAAGGTGATCTGGGCAAAGAAATCCATTAAGCACACTTAATAAGCTCAAAGAGTGGAATGAACAAGTACTCAGGTGATGAGCGATGAGCACAGACTGTCATATCTCATCACCCATGCCTTAGGCGGAGAGGGCATGAACTCTTACATATTGCCATGCCTTGGTCGATGAGCAAGGTTATCGCTCAGACCTTGGTCAACCCTTGGGCGAATACACTTCCAATTCTCAAAATATAAGAGTCATCGCATGAAGCTTTGGGCAGAGAGGTAACTCATCGAGCAACACTTCATCGCACAAGATAAGTAACAAGACAAAACTGTCAAGGAAAGGTCATCGCCCACCAAGCAACTCTTCATCGTCTAGTGTGTTGGGCGATGAGGACCTTTATCGCTCATAACATTGAACAGATACCAACTTGAAGACACATGACCTGGACGATGAGCTTGGTCTAGGCAATGAGCAAATGCTATCGCTCAAAACTTACAGAAATACTTCCAAGTCCAAAAGGTTATCGCTTAACACAATTTACAAGGCCAAGTCACAAAAATCAACCCTATGGCCGATGAGCACTCCTTTATCGCACAACCAAGCTTCAGATCATCATTGGGCGATGAAAACCCTTTATTGCTCATCAAGAACATTCATTGAGCGATGAGGATAGATCTGACAATATCAACGCACAGTTCGACCCAAAAATCATCAAAAATCCAAAATTTATCAAATAACGCCCAAAATTGATGATTAAAATAGGTTTGAATCCACCAAAATGCAATTCCTTTGAAAAGAATTTGATTGAAACATTGAAATCAATGGTGAACTATGATCCTTTTAAGCACAAAAGTTGAACAGGAAGTCCGAGGTTCATACGAGTACTGTTCTATTGAACAAAACTAGAAAAATAACTTGAATCTGCTGCAGATAGAATGATCGTATCGATATAAATTAATCGATTCTGCTCTGAATTACCAATTGTTAGTCCCAAATCTAACAACAATTCAAGAATATAAATGAAAATTGAGAAATAAAATGAAGAACATGAACTTGAAGAACCGACCGTTTCTCTTATTCAATGAAACAGGAAAGTACAAAATCTCTCTCACTTTAGTCGACTCTCATGGAATGGATCGAATTAACAACTAGAATGATCAACAAATTCTAAGCCCATGTCACCTATTTATAGGTGACATTTATATTGAAAGCTCAATACCCTTAAGCCCAATTACAATGATATTACAGTATATTACAAGTACTTGACTTCATAGAACTTTCTAACATTTACGACTATTTTAGTCGTAACAAATGTGGATCTAGAACAAGGCCCCTAAGTTATATATGTTTTAGCCTTTAGTCCAATTATATATGTATTAGGCTTTAACATCATTATACATGTTTTAGCTCAATTATAATGTTTTAGACTTTTATTCTTTTAGCCAAATATTATATGCAAGGCTACAACTCCTAGCTCTCTAATTTATAATTCCTATGATTCTATCGATATCATAATGATTAAGCTCCCCTAGTCCCCTCTTTAATCATTTAATCATCTTTTTTGTCCGCTCATCAAATAAAGGCTCAACAGGTCCTTGAAATTGGATTTGGGTTTCTCTGTTCCTCACTTTCTTGTTCGACGAAGGCAACCTCACAGGCCTTTGATTGGATCAAACAACAACTCACTCCGACGCGGGTCACTCTTGGATTTGGCCATTTGGGTTTCTTGTTTGTTGACTTCGTTCATCAACAGATCAACTATGATCTATGGATAGGGAAGTTAAAAGCCATGTTGTTTTGTTTCTTAAATTCTTATCACTTTTTACTTATTTTAGCACTTCATTATTATTATTAGATAAAATTTTATCTTTATCTTCCGTAGACTATAACTTTAATCTAGTTTTTCATATCTCTTTGAGTTAAGAAAACATGATCATGGACATCAATAATGTAAAAAGAAAAAAAGAGTTGAACAGATGATATGCGGTATGAACTTTTATGTTTTGTTTCATTTATTACTTATTCAGTCAATCCATAATCTTGGTACAAGTGTAACAAGGCCTCCTAAAAGATTGGAACGGCCTTCAATCTTGTCCACCAAAATAACATCAAAAGCATTTCTATAACATTCAGATTAGAGCAACTACATAATTTAGCTTCCCAAAATGAAACCTTCCGGTTAATAATTAATATGAGACATCCCAAGAAAGAAATGTTGTAATTTGAATGAGACAGGAGAGTAACAGAACAGATATAAAGGAAAACTTCTAGTTCAATCGCTCAATGAAGAGAAGAACAACGGAGAAGCATGGGCGGACCTACCTTTGAGGGGTAAAGGTTGCTTGCCCCCATCGAAATGTCAACAACCACTTTGATTTATTTATATTTACCCTAAATTCCAATAGTGCCCCCAACATTTTATACCATAATTTGTTAAATTTACTTAATTTGTTGCTTTGTTCTTGAAGTACTTAATTTGTTCCCAAGTATAAAGTAATTAGACAAGTATATTGTTGTTTTATTTGCTCAAACTTCGAAGATGGTCTCACCCTTCCTATTGCTTTTTTAGTTTGCTACTGTTGTTTTTAGCCGCTTCAAACTTCAAAGATAATCTCACCCTCGTTAGTTTGCTACTACTCTGCCATATACTATTTGCTGCTGTTACTTGTATCTGATTTTGCCATTATTCTCTATTTTATTAAAAATTGTGTGGTGGTGTTGGTTACTTTTTTTTTTGCTTAAGATGCACCAATTTACCTAATGCTAACATAAACATAACCTAAAATCGAACCAAATAAGATATCCATATTTTGAACCTCATTTGGTTCGATGGGTTATTCAGCTTTAAATTCTTCAAACTGCTAGGTGTGCCCCCATCACGCGAATTCCTGATTCCGTCAAGAGAAAAGAAAAGGAAAACAAGCATAACTAATAAGCTACGAATCTAATAGCAATACTAAAAAGAGTCCCGGACCTCAAATGGCGGAAAAGAGCTCCCGCCGTGGACCTCGATCTCGGAAACTGCCACCCGGACCACAAAGCAATGGGCAAATAAACATCAACCAGCACTACAACCCTCATCTCCCCTTTTTCCTTTTTCCGTGCAATTCGAACAACTCTTGAAGCAATCTTCAAACATTTGTGATTTACCAAAGCGTGAAGCTGATGAACCACGCTCGCACTACCATGCACTAGCCCTATCTTGCTCAACTTCTTCTTCGACACTGACATTGATCCACCACCCCTTTCGCTCTTAGATTTCAGGGGTTTCCCTGTATCTTCTTCATGGATAGCAGTAGAATTCATGGAGTTCGAATTGATCAATGACATAACAAAGCCGTCTGACGAGACAAAACCGACATCGGGTCCATCTCGAAAAATGTCACAAGAAGTGTTGACATTTAGGGTTTTGGGAATGCCATTGTCGACACTCTGATTATGCGTGTTAGCAGGGGAAATCGAGAGAACAACACACAAGTAACCGCTGTGCTTGTGATTGCGGATGGAGTGATCTTGATTTTCCTCCATTCGGTGAAGAAATTAATTGGAGATTACGGGGAGAAAACAACAATCGGATTCGGGTTTGAAAGATTTGGAGGTCGAACGAAGTTTCATAATTCTAGGATCGTGAGAATTTCGTTTTTGGATGAACCGAGGTTGCCAAATTCTGGTTTCAGCGTCCACAGGAATTAGGAAGGCGCAATTTGTAACCGGGGGAGGTCCGGGATCCATTGCCGATTCTTATCTCAAAAGTACAAATATGGTCCCTCAACTTTCTATATGTTTCTATAATTTTCTTTTTTGAGGTCAAATAGACAATAAGACAAAGACATTTGTATTTACAAATTAGCAAAGTTTACCAATTAATAACTATTGTTATTTCATATCTATTTTATTTGATATAATTGAATTAATAATAGATGACGGTAAAAAATTTAACATTTTTTAAGGAAAAATTAATTAAAATAGTATTTTTTTTGTTACTGGTGGTTCTACCTTTTAGTCATTTCTCCAAAATTAATCAAAATGCCACTATCTATCTGCAAAGACAACCTCTGCAGTTTTCACCAGTCTGACCTCCATAATTTTGATTCCACGTTTTTCAAATATGTTTTACTTGCAGATGTACACTATTTTTTTCAACAAAGTATGAAAATTGATTCTACACTGTACAATAATTGTACAATTTTCCAGTAACTGATTGATGGTTGATTGGATAAATTTAATTCATTTGATCTATGAAATAGCCATGATGGAACGATAAAGATGTACAGAAAAACCATATCACCTTATTTTCTTATTTCTTCATATATATAGGTGAAAGATCGTGTGAGAAAAAGAGTTAAGATGAGAAGCGTAAGAAGGGATCTGGACATTTGATCACCTTTAATCCCAAACTCACCCATGAATCGAGCTTGATACAGGGATTGATCTGGTGCATCTCATGTAGATGTATCTCATCCTAATGTACATCTAAGGTGGAGGAGATCCCTCCTTACACTTTTCACTTTAACTATCCTTCTCACCGGAATCCAACCCGAGATGTACTAGATCAAATCCTATAAAAAGCGCAATTCATGGGTGAGTAAGAGATTAAAAGTGATCAAGGGTCCAGATTTCTTCTTACGCTTCTTACCTTAACTCAACTTCTCACACGATCATTCGCCTACATATATATACATATATATAAATATATATCTTCAATTTCCTTAGAAAATGAGTTTCGGTACTGAATAATTAATTTACATCTTCGTTGGTGAATGGGTGAAAGCAAATTATGAATGGGAGTATATTTCTTCTGCTGAAACGATTCACTATGTTGTTCAATTACGTGCAAACATTAAACATCCAAGCTTGGCCGGTTATGTTCAAAGAAAATTTGGTTTCAACAGTTCTGTCGATATCACCAGGTTAGCATACAATTATAATTGTTTGATGTATGAGTTAGATAACAATGACGATGTTCGTGGTTTCATGGAACTCGTTGTCGGGTCAAATAACTCGCCTACACTTTTGCACATGTCGATTTTTCAATCGGTGATGAAGGCGATATTGGTGGTAATTCGAATACTGAAAATGATGTCGGGGGTAGTTTTAGTCCAGGAATGTATGACTATTCCCAAACCCAAGATCAATAATAGACTTAAGGAATGTTTGTTCTTTAGCATGAGTATGAGTCTCAATACGAGCACTCAAATTGGGTCTATCTAATATTGATTTCTCCATAAATGGATGAAAATGAAGACGAATAATTCCAATAAATGTGCATTTGTTGTTTCACCCTATGCCGACAAGTGGCAGGTTCGCAAGCGGCCCGTCAAAATTGTGGACCTGGTACGAAAGGGTAAATTTTTCAAAAGTCACGAACCAAGTCTGCAATTACGACGGTGCTGTTTGCAGATCTGTGTAAGAGATGTAATATAAAAAATTGTCGTTTATGTAGGTTTCCAATTTGCTGAGGTGGTCTTTGCAGAGGTAATAACATTTTGGTTAATTGTGGAGAGAAATTCTAAGAGGTGAAACGACCAGCCAAAAATGGCTATTTTAATTTTCCCTTCTTTTTATTATGTCATTTTATTTCATTCAAAAATAGAATATATCTATACTATATTATAAAGCATTTAACTAACTAATAAAAATAATGTTTATTGATGCATATTATTTAATTTTTATTTTATTATGGCTATTTTAACTATTTTTTTATGCATCGAGTACTGTTTATTTAAAATTCAAGATTATAAGTAAATGATACATGAGTAAAACTATTTAAAGTTGCATGTTTGAATTCATATAACTAACTAATAAAAATAATCAAAATACAAAATAAACATCTCATTTTCATTATAAAGAATCTAAAATATAATTAAGAAAATCATTGAGATATAACATAATATTTATTTATTATCTTTAAAAATAAGTGCATTATTAAGACTAAAATAAATTACATCGTTATAAACCTATAATGAAATTATAATAAAAAATTTAATTAAACGAATTATATAAAAGATGAGAACTTTTAAATTGTTATTTGATATACATTTTTTAAATTTTATGGGGTCTTCAAATTTATATTTTGTTCAAACATAAAAACATTCTCGCTTTTTGAAAACCACACAAAAACGTATTATAAGATTGTCAGGGACAAAAAAATAAAACGAAACACTAAAATCGAATAAAAACATTCTCGTTTTTATGAAAACCACACTAACATTCTCGCTTAGAATGTTCATGGACAAACCTTAAGCTAAAAAGAAGCCATTTATCAAATATATGCTTCCTCTCCTTTCGATTGAAACCTGCAAGGTCTTCTCTGCTAAAGCAGAGTATAGGAAACCAGAAAAGAACCTAGTTACTCAACTGACGCTTCCAACACTATAAAAAAAGAAGGCGACCAAGTCCAACCACCATTGGCTCCCTTCCTTGTTTCCTTCAAAAAGGGATGAAGTCAATTCAAATGCCTAACACAACGATAACATTGATGCAGAAGATTGTTGACGATGAGGGAAGATCTGCAAAATGAAAACGTTGATTGAAAAAAAGAGCGGTTGAAAAATTGGGATTTGGGGGCGTCAATAGATCTCTTCACCTAACACCTACCTAGCAGCCAACCGCCTTCCTCTCTTTTATATTTGCAACAGCTATTTAGTTGTCATTATCTTGTACATAAACACAAAAAAGGTGTTTCAACCACAAGGTGGTGCCTGTTTGGTTTGAGCTTAGGCTCCAAAGGTCAAAAGTGTCTGGAGGTCCTAGGTTCAAATCCAAGGAAGAATAAAAATCCTCTTGTGGCCAGGAGGTTCAAATGCAGTGACTCCGGGCTATCTGCAAAGCAGGTGGTCGCCCTGGGATTAGTTGGCTCGCATAGCGGGTTGGATATCTAAGTTAACAAAAAAGGTGCTTCCTTTTATAAAATGTATAGGTTATTGGTCATTTGCTTTCATTCCATTGTGCCACATGCTTTGCCAAACACTAAACTATGCTTGTGTATGTGAGTTGGGACAACAATAATTTCTTCACATACAACACAATTGTGCAAAGGTCAACACAGATTTTTCACAAGGATAAACCTTGATAATTTTATGCAAATTTACATATATGTAGTTGTACATGTGGGAAATTCTCATCATGCCATAAATGCCTACTTCTCATGGTCCCTTAGATACAAAGACTGTCTAATCTAAAAACATCCACCAAATCAATAATACAATGAAAGGCAGACGAAAACAAGGTAAACAGGAAACCACAAAGTATAAACCCTGAAACGTAGACTACATAGGGGAGCTGTCAGATTGAAATCGTAAACCCAGAAACCACAAAGCATAAACCTATACACATAACTTATTAATTATGAAGCTTAAATCAGATTCAAAGTGTAAACCCAAAATGCATAAACAAATCATGAGATGCCATAAACCTAAAACACATAAATGAATCAAATGAGTAATGAAACTAACCTGTTACTTCTACAATATAATACAATAGATTAAAAGCCTCTTTACCAGGAACTACAAAACCCTAAAACACAAATATATGGAGATTTCAAAAAAAGAACCCTAAACCGAAGGTCCGATTGGTAATATAGAAGAAAGTCAATGAGCTCACATACCTAATAGTAGAAAATCCGATTGGTTATGACGAGGGAATGGATGGGACAAAGATGCGATAAAGAAGGAGAACGGGCGTCAAAATCTCAGGATCGGTGATTTGGGATTTTGGGAGGGGTCGGGAGAACAATATGTTTTAGGGAGATTGGATGGTTTAAATTTTCCACGTCATTTACTAAATACATGTCATAATTATTGCCATGTCATATTTTTAAAACAACACATCATTATTAGTTGACCGGTTATCGGAAGGATAGGTAAACCATATACTTAAAAGTTTGAGAATTTACATCTTAGGTACCAAAATGATAGTTCTAAAAATACGTAACCCAAAGTAGGAATCAGATGAAAGTATGTTACTTTTTAATGTACTTTGTCCAAAATAATAATAGTTTAATCTTATTGGTGGAAATGAATTAAAAAATAATTTCTCTTACCTCCAATCAAGTTTTAGATAATTCTTTAAATTTGGAATTTCTTTTCTTGTTTTCTCTATTTTAGAGAACAATTTAGAGAATATATTGGAGGAAAATAGAGAACAAAATCTCTATTTTCTCTATTTTAGAGAATTTGTTGGAAGTTTTCTAAGAGGCTACCAAGGACCGCAAATCTTACCCGGTAAATAAGGGAAAACACTCTTACCAGTAAGTGTTTACCAACAATCCATTTTGATGGCCGAGAATGTTACCTGATAAAGTAACTGAGGGTGGTGAGGTTTGTCAGTAAGCGCTTACTTGGTAAGCGTTTGGTAAACAACCTCTAACTTTTGAAATCTTTGTTCTCTAAAAGAGAAATCAACTCAAAATTAATTCCATTTTAATGCAATTTTCATATATGTGCGTGTTAACAAATGGCATTCAGCTGCAAAAAAATCAAAAAGAGGTCGCCAAACTATGCAATCATATTTATTTTACGCCAAATCTAGGAATATGCCTAAAATGACAAAAATATCACTTATTGTAGAAGAAATTTGAATAAAGAAATGAATTGATCATTTTCATTATGTCCTTTAAATAGGGACGAGTTAAGAGTAGATGGTTATCAAGAGATCAGTTATATGCTATTATATCCCTAATATGTCTATCTCTATCTCGATCCTCGTAATGCCACATTTATTTGTATTTATTTGGTGATCAAAATATAAAGTGTAAACACTTATAAGAGCAAACTTATAATTTCGTCTTGAAAACTTAAACTTTGAATAAAGAAAGAGAGAAGCAGTAGGAATGGATGGGGAATGAGAAGGGAGGGATCGACATAGGGAGGAGAATGACCTAAGGCAGTAAGGAGGAGGTGGTAGGTGTTGGTAATGTTAGTGTATTCCCAAAATCCAACCATAAGATGATTGTAATTTTGGATATTTTGTTCTGATACTTATTAATAAAGATATTGTCTATTTATTATATGTTGTTGTTGTATTTTATGTTGTATCATGACAACTATAATGACCTTAGAATATGATTCTTAAAGCTCTCCTAGTCAAATACTAACTTAGATTAAGTTAAAGTAGTGTAACTGAGACTAGCATATGTCGGAGTTCATATGGTTTATATGAAGTTCACATGTAAAAAAAGTTTGTGAACTTGTATATTGAACATGTCAATTATGAGAACACTGCATGGAATGTCATATGAGTGTTGTAAGTGTTTTTTCATGTGATCTTAGTATAGTGATGTATTATGAATTGATGGTCTTGAAGTCTATTACAGTTAAGTCTCACACTTTGATGCTATCTTAAATTCACTTTTTGATCTCAACTCAATATTTCTTTCAAAATAGAATTAATGCCACAACCGTTTTGAAAGAAAACAACAATATCTTTTCTCAAATTAAATCAACATTTGAAAGATACAGATCCCCTTTCCAACCCAAAACAGTTTAGAAACTGTTAAATAACATTTATGAAAATAACTTCTTTTTATTTCACAAGACTTGGGTGATACTACCCCTCATCGGTCATCGGCCAACACTATGGTCGATGACCCCTCCTCATCGAACAACACTATAATCCATACAGCACTTGGAGAGATAACACACTCACCACCCACACTTTGTTCGGTAACTATCCTCACCGGTCAACACTCTATCCGAATACATTCTCATCGGACAACACTATGTCCGGTAACCAACCTCATCGGTCAACACTCTGTCCGGTTAACCACTTCACAGGTCAACACTTAAAAGATTAACTTTTCAATCCGGATTCCACCTTGTCCCATGAGCATCCTCACCGGACAAGGCTTGATCGATAACCTCAATCTGGTCAACATTGGAAGTCTCAAATATTAATCCACTCAATACTTTCGGTGATGAGGTGCCCAATCCGGACAACCTATATGTCTGATAAAGGGTCTTCACCAGACAAGACTATGTTCGATAAAGTCCTCACTGGACGATGAATTAAAATACTCAACTTTACACTGATCAAGGCTTGGCCATTAAGGAGCCCTCATCGGACAACACTCTGTCCGATTACAGGCCCTTATCGGCCCACAAATTTCATAAGAACAAATATATACAAAATGCACAAATACACCGTCAGTTTCATTCAAAGCCAGAATTGTAAACCAATTCAAAGATTGTTTATATCAAAACTCACCTCCATGTAAGAAGGTAAGAATTTGGAGAAATAACAAATTTGAATTTTCTTCCAATATATTGATCCAAAGTTCCGAGCTTCTATTTTTAGTAAGAAAACAATTTTTCACTCTTTCACTGTTTCTTTCCAAATATGGCCGAAAAAATCATTCTCTTCCCGAAACTTCTCTTTTATACTTGCCTTATGATGAAAGGCGGTTTTGAATAAAATAATAAACACTTTTCTTTATTCTCACCCAACACATAATATTTCATGCACATATAAACCATGCATACTGATCCCCCATGCATGCATATTTAATCCATACATACACATAAAACATGCATACACATATGCATATTTTCTTACCACTACTTCATGCATGATACATATACATACTTTCCATGCATGAAAATATGCACACACTCACATATTAATCTCATGTATGGATGTATCCACATGGTCAAATATATCAATTAATCACATATTCACGTGACCACATAATCAAATAGTCACATAACAATTACCTCACGTGTATAACCAGGACCCAGTTATCACATTCATATTGTACCGTATCAAACGAGTTGCCTTTACAAAAAGATTGCTAAAATTTATTTGATTAAAGCAAATGAATTCAATTAATTTGAATAAAAAATGAACACTAGGACTCATTCCAACTCATCTCGTAAAGATAGTCCATGACATCATCACAGGTCAAACCTTTGATAAAACTAGATTAAAACCAGTCTTTTTTTGGTTGTATAAAGCCTGAAATGATGTCTTTTTTTAGTTTGTTAAGGAAGAATTGCCTAAATACCCATTATACACTAGTATATTGAACAAAATATTCACTTTTAGACGTATTTGCTCAAATACCCGGTCCTTTCACCAACCATTTTTGCCAACGTTGGAGAAAGTACATGTAGGACCAACTAGAATTAAAGCAACCAATAAGAAAATGACCTCATATGATCCGACACCATTAGTTTATGTGGACCCCACCGCTTACACAACATTGCGCCTCCAAACCTGAGCTCGATAAGTATTACGCCAATACAAAGTTTCGTCGTTGGCGAAAAAGTTGTGGGGCCCACGACTGACCTGACCCCAGCTGACCCACATTTTTTACCACCCAACCGGGTTAAGCGACGTGTCCTATTTTTTTGACCACCCTTTTCTTCATACCCAAATTTTTTTCAATATAACCATTTTTTTTCACCACCCAACCGGCTTATCCCACGTGCCCTATTTTTTTGACCACCTTTTTCTTCATACCCGAATTTTATTTCTTTATACCTGATTTTTTTTTCAACATACATGATTTTTTTGCTTTATTAAATAGGAGGGGGACCATTAGTAGTTTAAATTACCATAACTTTTTTATACTCCCGACCAACCAACAAATTTTACTCCGTTCCCGTCTCCCACCGCCATTCACCACCTCCCACTGTCGTCCACCACTGTCTCTCAGCACCACCTCCCACTACCGCCGTCCACCACCTCCTACAACTGCCATCCACCACTGTCATCCACCATCCACCACTGTCATCCACCATCTCACACCACAGTCGTCTTCAGAAATGGATAATGAGGTAAGTTGATTAAAAATAATTAATATTTTTTTTACAAAGTGTTTATGTAATTGTTTGAAATATGTTTTATTATTTATTGAAAGCATTCTTGATTTATTCAAAATTTATTTGTTAACTTTTGTTTTGAGTATCTGAACGTAATTGTTTTAATTTGTATCTTTAATTGTTAATTTTTGTTTGATCATCTACATGTAATTGTTTAATTTGTATCTATAAATTGTTGACTTTTTTTTTATTATCTGCTTTGTGTAATTGTTTACCGTAATTATGTTAACACGTCTTTATTTCTTCATTTCTTTTTAATAATGACATATAATAGTGTTTTATATTTGGAAGTTATTATTTAACTTCTAGTTTAAACAATATATATATATATATATATATCACTTAATTGATTATGAAGTTATGCTTTTATATATATATATATATATATATATATATATATGAAGGATTTATCGGTGTCTTTTGTGATGTTGAGAGGAAAAGTTAAATTTCTTAAGACAATAACGGAAAAATTAAAGAAATATCATGAACGGATGGATATGTTTAGGCGTGCGTGTTTTTGGAATTGGCTAGATATCCGAAGTTTATATGGAGATCCGATGTTGATTCATACAATTCTCCAATGTCAGATCCCTTAAGAGAACACATATATGGAGGAATTATATTTTCGTGTTGGAAGTTGGCTTCTGAGTTTTAGCATATATGACTTTTGTCTGATTACTGCTCTTCGATTTGGTCCTGAGATTCATCCACGAACTAATAGACTTACGACTATTAAGAAAAGATTATTTAGTAATATGTTGGACGATAAAGATGTGAAGGTGAATGATTTTAGGATTATATTTGATTGTGAGCAAAAGTTCAAGGATCTATTGGACGTTGACACGGTTTGTGATTGCCTTGTGTTAGTACT